AATACCTATTTTCAAAAAAAAAAAAAAAAAAATAGAATGCAGACAATTTCAGGTCTTTGTTCAACTGTGCTATTATGCAAAGTCCTACAAGAGTAATGGAGGGAAAGGCTCCTAGGGTTCAGTACTCAGACCAGTGCTTTTCAACATATTCATCAGTGATTTGGATATGGGTGTGAAAAGCATACTGGCCAAGTTTGCTGATGACACCAAGTTATGGGGGAGTGTGGTCATGCTGGAAGAAAGGCTGAGGATACAGGCTGACCTGGACAGGCTTGTAAGGAGGGCAGGTCAAAACCTGATGATGTTTAACACTAAGAAATGTAAAGTGCTCCATCTGGGGAGAAATAATCTGCAATATATTTACAGGCTTGGCAGTGCCACACTAGCTAGCACCACAGCTGAAAGAGACTTAGGGGTCATGATAGACCACTGAATGAACATGAGATACCAGTGCAGTGCTATAGCCAGCAGAGAGAACAATACACTGGCATGCATCAAGACTAAAGATGTCATCCTCCTGCTCTACTCAGCATTGGTGAGGTTGCAACTGGAGTACTGCATCCAGTTTTGGGCGCCACACTTCAAAAAGGATGTGGAGAAGCTTAGAAGAGTCCAAAGGAGGGCCACACAAATGATTAGAAGTCTGGAGAGCAGGCTATATGAGGAGAAGCTGAAGGACATGTGACTGTTCAACCTGGAGAGGAGAAGAGTTAGGGGGGGACTTGGTGGCAGCCTATAAGTATATAAGGGATGAACATCAGGGGCTGGCAGAACATCTGTTCACTGAGGCACCCCAGGAGAAGACAAGGAATAATGGACATAAAACTACTAGAAGATCACTTCAGATTGCATATAAGGAAAAACTTCTTTACAGTTTGAGTATCCGAAGTCTGGAATAGCCTCCTCCCAGAGTTGGTCTGGAGATCTTCAAAAGATGACTGGATGCACACCTCTCTGGGGTTATCTGACCTTAGCATTTTGTTGTGCCTAAGAGCGGGGGGCTGGACCTGATGATCTTGTGAGGTCCCTTCCAGCCCCAACTTTTATGAACCTGTGAATAATCGAGGATATGGAGGAAAACAGAGAAACAGACAAAAGGCAACATGAAGTTTTTTTCAAGAAAGATCACATCAGATCAATTTCATATTCTATCATAGAATAACAGGGCAATTCAGTGAATCTATTCTATTTAGATTAAGGAGAATCTCTGGAAGGGAAATTATTATTTGAACTGAAGAAGATGGGGATTAATACTATAAACATAAAGGGGATAAAGAGTTGGCTAAAAGGGAGACTATAGTAAGTTATATTAAAAGAAGAGTGGTCAGTTTGGAGAGAGTCTAATCACACTGATTCTCAAGTTATGGTCTTAGGATCTACCTGTTTAACGTTTTCATTAACAACCTTAGTATAGGAACTAGATGTGTGCTGATGGAATTTGAAGATGACAAAGCTGCTGGGTAGTATGGGTGTGCGAAACGGGCTGTATTTGATTTGGATTTGGCCCAAATTGGGGACATTGATTCAACTCGTTGATTTGTATCACTGTCCCAATTCGATTCAGCAGAAATTGAAGATTCAATGCTTGATTCAGAGAATCAGCTATTTGGGCACAGACACAGTTTTAAATGTTTTTTCGACATAAGTCAAGGTACCATAGCTCGTGAATGGTGGATCATCTCACAGGAGTGCAGGGCAGCCCCCCACATGCTCAGTGGCAAACCTGGAAGTAGACTGGAAGTATTTCTGGTCCGCTTCCAGGTCCGCCACCAAAAGCGCAGCCCCTCCCCTGCCCCCCCACAGCCCCCAGCTCAGAGATCAGCTATGGGGGGACCCTGGGTGCCCCCCCAGATCCAGGAGGCACCAGTAACCAAGCCATGGGGGTTGGGGGAGGCCCTGCACGCTCCCCAGTGGACCTGGAAGTGGACAGAAGTGCTTCTGGTCCACTTCTGGGTCTGCTGCCGAGTGCTCTGGGGAGCCCCCTCGCACTTCTGTGGGACACTCCATGCGCCCCAGCATCACAGGATTCATGAGCCATCTGCTACCTAGAGGTATGTAGAAAAAATATTTAAAGCTGTGTCTGTGTCCAAATTGTCAAATCTTTCTGAATCTCTCCAAATCGATTCAGAGAGTTCCGATTCAATTCAGAGAGATTAAAGGGTCTCTTGATCTGATTCAGATTCAGAGATTCGGCCACCCAATCAGGCCAAATCTCCACCGAATCGAGTCAGGGATCAAAGCTTCACACAGCCCTACTGAGTAGTACCAACATGGGAAGGTGCTGAGTAGTACCAATGCTTCTTATAATCATGTAGGAAAAATTAGATAACCTTGTGGACTGGAACAGCAGAAATGTTATGAAGACTAATCCTAAGAACTTCTTTGGTAAGATGAGGACTGACAGGCTGAAGGCAGTGGGGGAAAAGAGGGTAGTGGTTGTGCCCTTATCTCTCCTGCTCTTTACCTGTGGTATATTATAGGATTTTTAGCTGTTCATGGGTTGCTTTGTGCCTCTGGTGCATGAAAGCAGTTGGAGTGGATGATTTTTCAGACTCTTTGGACAAATACTTGCCTATATTCAGAGGACTGGATTCAGTGGCCTTGGAGAACATGACAGTTTTATGTCCCTATGTAAATGACTGGATTAGAAATTAAATGCAGTTTCTGGGATGAGTGTTTGCAGAAGAAAAGGTAAAGTAGAGAATTCATAAAAGTAATATAAATGAAAATTTGTATTTATTTTCCTTAGTTCCAGCTGGAGTGCCTCTCAGGTTGCGTATGTCCTCTTGGACTGCTTGATGATGGCAGAGGGAAATGTGTTCAAGAGAAGGATTGTCCATGTATTCATAATGATAAATTATATTCTTCTGGAACAAACATAACAGTGAATTGCAACACCTGGTAAGATGTTGTGATCTTTCAGTCTCTCCTAACGTATTATTTTTCTTGTGGTGAACAAAGGATAATGTTAGGATATAAGAACTGCTCTTATGAGCAGCATGTAGATACACAAGCTTTAATTCTCAGGTCTATTCTGGTTGCCCTGTGACTGTGAAGGTTAACTGAAAGATTCCTTTTGTGAAAACTTAGCTAATACCATAAATATTGAGGTAATAGTCTTTGTTCATCTTGGACAAAAGTAGGGCATTTTAAGAGGAATCACTATAACTTTACTCAGAATCACTAACTTTGCACATCTTGAACCTAACTGCTTAACGAGCTAATGTAATCAGGACTCATCATGTTTTATACCCAACGGCTAACATCACATCTGGCCACCTTTGACACTTCTCACTGCAAATGACTAGGCACCCATTTGTAGTAGGAGCAGCCTTTGGCGTAAGTCCAAAAGAAATCTCAAACCCTTGCTTCTGGAGTGATAAAAAGATGCTCTGCCACCCCACTCGGCTACCCCACTGCAGCATCTCTTTACAGTAGGCACCATTTATTGAATAAAAGTGTCATTCTGGGGGTAAGACTGATAGCAGAACCAACAGCAAGCTAAGTAAAGCTAATAGCTATACTATAAACTTAATCACGGACTTAATTTTTAGCGCACTAGTCCCACATCATGACTGGTGAGGAGAGAATGATTTGTAGTGCCCTACAACAGAGAGGTGCTTATAATACATGTTATAGACTCCATATGGGTCAGGGAATTGCATGGTTCAGTGGTGTACCACACTCATTGAGTACCTGGTGGGGGGGCACCAGTCTGCTCACCCCACTCACCCCCGTCCTCCCATAGTTACATAGCTTAGTGTGGTGCTGCATTACCCAGCTCCTATGGCTAGTTAAAGGAGCCTCCCTGCCACTGCAAAGACTGCTGGTGTTGTTGGTGGTGGGGGTCCTGGTGCCCCCTCATAGTCAATGTCTGGGACATATGTTCTCCTTTTCCCGCCCTAGTTATGCTACTGCCATGCTTTGTCCTCACCTTTTCAAACAATATATATAAGGACGAGATCTGAAACATAAAATCTTTTACTCTACCCCTAGTACCTGCCAGAAAGGACATTGGGACTGCACTATGGGTAATTGCTTTGGGACTTGCAGTATATATGGAAGTGGCCATTATATTACCTTTGATGGAAAACAGTATGATTTTGATGGAAACTGTGAATATGTGGCTGTTCAGGTAAGGTCCAGTGGGAGAAGGAAACAAAAGTGAAAAGTTGCTATAGAGCCTTTAACTACTTTTAAAAGATTGATCAATTTGGTTCTAAGCTTACCTCCCTCACATCCTCTTTCTCTGAGGTCTCAATTCATAGGCTTCTACTGAGCTAAATTCCATGCTTGCAGAAGATCTGGGATGCGTGATTAAGCAAATGGGGTTTCCTCAGCTTGCTGAGTGAAAATCTCAGCTGATGAGGGAACTGCAGATTTTATGAAAATTGGCTAACTGGGGAATGAGAACTGTTGGCTAATCAATATTGTTCCAAAACAAGTGGCTGATTCTGTATATTCCAAAAATGAATATATTCATTTTGGAATGTACGTCATTTTTTCATTGAATAGTTCTACTTATTTCTAGTATTTGGCAAACAAATTTAATATAGATAAATGGATAGATATGCATATATTGATAATGTAGATACAGAAATTAGCCATCTAGCAACATTTGTCTAATTAGCAGTAATGCACACATTAAGTGAATAAGTTTAAAATATTTTTAGGTTAAAATAAGAAAAAATAAAGAATACGATTCCTTTTATTTATTTATATTGTATGCTTCTACTTTTAATAGGATTATTGTGGTGAAAAAAATTCCAGTGCTTCATTTAGTATCCTTACAGAAAATGTCCCTTGTGGAACCACAGGAGTCACCTGCTCAAAGGCTATTAAAATATTTTTAGGGGTGAGTATTGACAAGGGTGAAATCATACCCAGTAGGCGGCTAATCAAAACTGCCATGCATATGTGGAGGAATCCTTTGACATTACCCTTCAGAGGGGACCAAGTGGGGATAAAGGGATCTATTTTTTTATTTTGTTTTTTCCTTTAATTCAACATGTTTTTTCTTGTTGGGAAGGGGACAATGAATGGGATTTGGAGACAGCCTGGGTCCCCCTTTTGAGGGAGGAATTTTAGTTTGGAAGGAAAAATAAGGGTGGGGGAGATTACCCAGAGTGAGGCAGGAGAGTGGGATGTTAGGAAACAGTTTGTGGGGAATACAGTTTCAGGGAAATAGTTGTTTTTATTGAATACGGGTTGGGAACCAAAGTTGGGTTGGGCAGGGCCGGATATTCAGCTTGGTCTGAGACAGGGGAGCAGGAGTGGGTGAAGTGGAGTGGTTTGCTCCTGAATTTGTTGTTCTTTTTTCTTTTCTAAGTGGAGGTTTTCTTATATTAATATTTATTTTGTTTCTATAATTTTTTTTCTCTTTTACTGAAAACTTCCCTGAGCCTTTTTGGGAAGGGCAGCATATAAATCTAACAAGTAAATGAACATCTAGTTCCTTAAGGCAAGTGAAATCTGAAGCCCACAGTGAAATGGGTTAGAATCAGTTACTGGAACTTGTTGCGGCTCCATTAAGGTCAATGGAGCTATGTTGATTTTTGAAGTCAGCTCAGGGGGTTTTCATTGTTCCAAAGTCCATCACCTTCCCTTCTCTAATGTCTTGTGTTGTTATGAGATATTATGGGTTGGGTCGATATCGACCTGGAAATATGTGGGCAGTGGAGTCCCAGGCTCAGTCCTTGGACCTGTGCTGTTCAATGTCTTCATCAGTGACTTGGATGAGGGCGTGGAAGGCACTCTGTCCAAATTTGCAGATGATACCAAATTATGGGATAAAGTTAACATACTACAGGATAGGGAACGAATCCAGGTGAATCTGGACACATTGGAAAAGTGGGCAGAACAGAATAGGATGCAGTTCAACAAAGACAAGTACAAAGTGCTACACCCAGGGAGAAGGAATCACCAACACACCTACAGGCTGGGGGAGGACCTTCTCAACAGCACAGCAGCAGCGGAAAGGGAGTTGTTGAGACTAAGATGAACATGAGTTGTCAAGTGATGAAGTGTTCAACAAGCCTAACCACACTTTATCATGCATTAGCAGGTGCATAACGAACAGGTCCAGGGAGGTGATAGTTCCCCTCTATGCGGCATTGGCCAGGCCACAGTTGGAGTACTGCGTCCAGTTTTGGGTGCCACACTTCAAGAGGGATGTGGACAACCTCGAGAGGGTTCAGAGGAGGACCACTTGTATGGTTACGGGCTTGCAGACAAAGCCATATGAGGAGAGACTGAGGGACCTGGATCTCTTCAGCCTCTGCAAGAGAAGGCTGAGAGGTGATCTTGTGGCTGCCTACAAATTCATTGGGAGAGGAGGGAAGGTACAGCAAGGAATAGGAGATGCTCTATTTACTAGGGCACCCCCTGGAGTAACTAGGAACAATGGCCACAAATTGAGGGAGAGCAGATTTAGGTTAGACATCATGAAGAACTTCTTTATGGTATGGCTTGCCAGAATCTGGAATGGGCTTCCAAGGGAGGTGGTGCTCTCCCCTACCTTGGGGGTCTTTAAGAGGAGGCTGGACATGCGCCTGGTTGGGGTCATATAACCGCACTGCTCTTTCCTGCTCATGGCAGGGGGGTGGACTTGATGATCTACTGAGGTCCCTTCTGACCCAAACATCTCTGAATCTATAATAACCAGTGCTATTGCAAACTTGTCCTTTTTATTTTTCAGAGGACTGAACTAAAGTTGCAGGACAAGGAACTTTATACAATTAAAAAAGATCATGGTGAGCATGTGGATTATTGGACTCGGAAAGTGGGTCTGTATCTTGTTATTGAGGCCAGCAATGGTTTGATGGTTATCTGGGATAAGAAGACTACTGTTTTCATCAATCTGACCCCTAATTATATGGTAAGTGACCCTTGCTAAAATATAGTATAATGATTACGGCACACTATTATAACAAAAATGAACAGTTACTTTGTTACTTTTCTGGATCCACAAAGCTTAAGGTTCAGATCCACAAAGGGCCTTAGGATGTGTGTAGATGAAATGGGGGCCCCAAATTGAAGTGGTGGGTTTTTAAAAACACTGCTTCAATTTAGGGCCATTTAAACCCCTGTATCATGCACACATTGACATACCTGGCAGCAGGGAGGGGAGGGCAAGCTGCTGGTGGGGGGAGCGGTCCCTGGGTTGCAGGGGTGGAGGGGACTGGTGCTTCCCTCTGCAGCAGCAGTGGCTCCCCCCCCGAGGTGGCACCTGCCCACAGCACCCGGCTTGGGCGGTCCCAGGGGAGCACTGCAGCCACAGAAGGAAGTACTGGGCCCCCATGCAACTCATTTATGAAGGCAGGCTCCATTTGAGGGGTGGGAGGAGAAATCAGGCTTGTTGCTTTTTTTGGTTGGAGCCTGCCTTCCTGGGCTGCTGCAGGGCTTCCTGCAGAGGCCCTGAGCTGCACGGAGCCCGGTGCTTTGTTCTGTGGCTGTAGGGGCACTCAGAGGAGTTTCAGTTTGCTGCACTCCAAGTAATTTAAGGCACATTACACTGACGAATTTCCTACAGTGGCTGGAGTTAATTCACAATACGCCACTGACGTGTGCAAACACCAGCACCATTAAAGTGGTGCAAAAGCATTTGCCTGCTTTAAGGTGTCTTGCACACATGCCAGTTATTTCATCTTCCCATGGCCTTAGGTGCAACAGTTTTCTAATAAGTAAGAAAATGTTATAAAGAAGGTTGTGTTCAGTATTACCCAGGACACTTAAAAAAGGACAAAAAGAAATCATTTCAGCAAAAAAGATGTATGATGGAGATAGACAATTTTCCTAACTATTGGAGCAGTGAAACACTACCACATGCTACTAAGGGACACTGTAGGATCTCCCGCATTTGGGATTTTAGGAAGTGGGGTAGAAAAACATCTGATCCTGCTTTCATGCAGGGGGTTGGACTACATATACCGTTCAAGACCCTAAGGAAAGAACGAAAGAGGAAAAGTAAAATAGACACTGAAACTTCAGGAAAGAAGACTTGGAGAACTGTTAGGCAGGATTCACTGGGAGGCAAGTCTGAGGGGAAAACGTAGTCCAAGAGAGCTGGTTGTACTTTAAGAAAGCCTTGTTAAGAGTGCCGAAGCAAACTATCCCAATACAAAGAAAGAATAGGGGGTGTAGCAGGAGGCTAGCCTGGCTAAAAAGTGAACTTCATAATGAGCTGAAACTCAAAAAAAGATTCATAGAAAAAGTGGAAACTTCTTATTACCAGAGAAGTGAATAGGAGCATTGGATGAGCATGCAGGGAGAAAAATCAGGAATGCTAAGACACAATTTGAGATGCAACTAGCAAGGGGTATAAAAGGGAATAAAAAATATCTACAAGTATATCAGAAGTGAGATGAAGACTAAAGAAAATATAGGTCCCTTACTGAATACAGAGGGCAATCCAGTAATGGATAATGCAGAGAAGGGTGAAGTTTTTAATGCCTGTTTTTTTACTTAAGTCTTTACAAATAAGATTGGCTACCAGATGACAAGTACAGTTGGCAGCAAAACAGGGGATGAGTTACTAAGCGTAGAGTAGTGAAAGAACAGGTTCAGGATTGCTTAGGGTATAAACAGACATCATTAAATGAAGTGGATTACCTGTGCTGGGATGCGTCCCAGTACAGCTGATCTGCCTGAGTGGGTGAAACACACATCACCTATTATCCCACCTGCTGTTGCTACGAGACAATGGGTGACATTCCTGTGGGGCATGATGAACCTGTGCACCCTGGAAATTCCCACATAGGATCAAATCCCTCTCGCCCTGGAAGTGCCTGTCTGGCGTTCCCCACTTACCAAGTCATGCCCCTTGGATGTCTGGGATGCATCTTGGTAAATAGGGAGAGTTGGGGTTTCTCTGCTTACCAAGATGTACCCCTGAGATTTCTGGGTTCCATTTTGGTAAATTGGGAAAGCTAGGCAGGTACCTCCAGGGCTTGGGGGACCTGATTCTGTGCAGGAATTCCCCAGGGTGCACAGTATCAAAGTCCCACAAGCCCCTGGTGCACTTGGCTGGGATGGCTGGGGAGCACGGGTAGCTTCAGGCTTCAAAAATCCCCATGCAATAAAGTAAATAGACATCCACAGCTAAAGAGCAGCACAAATTGATACCAACTTCATAATGGCCACATATGTAGTATGCAAAGGGATATAGACATCTGTTCACTTAGCTTGTTTGCCACCATAAACATTTTTATGATGGCACAAATGTGACAAAAAGTGATGTCTATTTCCATCTTTAGTGAAGCTGGATGTTTTGAAGTCAGCAGAGCTAGACGGCACGCATGCTAAGATGCTGAAGGAATTGCCTGAAGTACAGTAGCAAAACTGAGGGGTGTGCAACTGGGCAAGGAGACTCAGGCATTGCCTTTGGAGGCAGGACATGCATACATAGCCACCAGCGCAGCTGGCAGTGCCACCACCATTGGCTGTACAGCAGTCAGTGCTGGTCTGCATGTTGTCACTCCCCAGGGCATGGAGTAGCCCTGTTATGCTTCTATTGAGATATTTTAAGAGTCATTGGCAAACATCTTTGAGAATTTGTGGAGGATACATGAAGTCCCAGATGACTGTAAAATGGCAAATATAGTGCCCATCTTTAAAAAAGGAGGAGGATCCAGGACCAGTCAGTTTGACCTTAATGCTAAGATAGATTATGGAGCAGGTCATCAAGGAGTATATTTCTAACATCTGGAGGAGAAAAAGTTTATCAAGAACAGTCAGCATGGATTCATCCAGACCAAATGATGCCTGACCAACCTGCTTGCCTTCTATGATAAGGTGACAGGCTCTGTGGATAGTGGGAAAGTAGTAGATGTGATATAACTTAACTTTAGCAAGCCTTTTGATTCTGTCTCCTATTGTTATATATGGATGAGTTGGGAATGATACAAACAAATCAAAATGACTCCAACTTTAACATTGAAGTTGAAGCAGTCAACTGTTGAAGTTGAAGCAGCTTTTGCATTTGAATCTATGAGCAGCTCTACAATTTTGAAAAGGGGTACGCAGGTGGTGTGGTGCATCATCCCATGTAACACAGTCCATATCTTTCTCCAAGAAAAGAAGAAACTAGAAACTAGAAGCTTTATTTGTATGGGAGGGTGTTAGGGCTATATTGTTTAGTTCCACATTGAAGCAATAACAAATATAACTTCATTGCAATGAGTTAAAAACATTCTGCAGGGCTGTGCAATAGGAGCTTCATTACCAGGAGCAGCTAAGAGATTGCAGAAGAAAGGCTGACTTGAGTAGTGGAACATCAAGACTGTTAAATAGGAGAAAGGGTCTTTACTAGTACCAGTAGAATGAAGAGTTTAGAAGGAACCATTAATTCAGTTGATGCTCTCACTGCTGCCTCATTAGAAATGCTGCTGCCACTGCCAAGCAGTTGGTTTTAAACTTTGGGTGGAGCAGGAACCAAAGGGGAATGCAACTGCACCCCCCTCCCCCTGGATCTGCCCCTGTTTGCATCATTCCCAGCTTGTTTTGAAGCATTCCCCTTCTGAAATGGATCCAAATGTACATGTGTCTGTACCCTATGTTTTTTATTGCATTCTGACTAGATGGGTGTCAACTAACAAAAATCTCTTGAGACCCCCAAAATCAAGTTTTAGTCAATGTCTTACAAGAAATACTTTGCAATGTTGAAATATACCTTCAAGATAATAAGTCTGGTCATCAAGACCAACACTCATTAGAAATAAACCTATGCAAATAATATCTCAATGTTCCAGGGACAAGATTTAGGTATCTGATTTTCATTTATGAGAGCAATAATCAAAAAGCTTCTTGTTTGTCACTGTACAGGACTGAAAATTGTAGCCACTGTTTGGTTCATTGCAAATGAAACATAAATAAACACACACACACACATTGGGGGACAGAGCTGGGACCTGCCTCTCACCAGGGGAGTTCCCAGCCCCAACCCTCCAAACCGGGTGGAGGCTGGGAAGCTTGTTCCCTACTCAGCTCCATGAGCACAGAGCTGAGTAGGGGACATGTTGGGCAGCTTGTTCCCTGCTCAGCTCCATCAGTGCAAAACACAGGGGAACAGGCTGGGGAACTTGTTCCCTGCTCAGCTGCACAGTGTGAAGCTGGAGGGGAGCAAGCTCCCCAGCTTGCCCCTCCCTTCTTCTCCCCCCCAACCCCAGCTCCATGCTTGCAGAGCTGAGCAGGGGACAAGTTCCCCAGCTCAGAGCTGGGTGGGGAACAGGCTCCTCAGCCCCCATCAGCAGGGAGCTCCCAGTGCCTGCCCTGTACTGTGGGGCCAGTGATGGGATACCCTTATCTCCCAGTACTTTTTTCATGGTCATGGAGCTGGTGCTGGGTGATAAGGGTCTTGCAACCCCCTGCTCCCTGATCATGATTTCAGAACAGGGGGCTTAGAGTTTCCTGCTGCTGGGGCAGGGGGGCACAGTCCCCACCCAGACTCCTGTGGTGGAGCCCTCCCTGGCAGCAGGCAGTTCCCGGGGGCAGGGAGAAATCTCCTACCCCCTGGTGGACGGCTGATCAGAAGCAGATTTGCTCTCCATCAGGAGTCTACATGAGCGCTATTGTGATGTTACTAATCAAAAGTAAATTTGCTACTTGCATTTGCAGGTAGAAAATTTACTTGTGATTAGCAAGGTTTAGTGCATAATAAGCATGTGTACATATAGACACACATGCTTACTTCACAGTAAACTATACTACTGCCCAGTTAAGCACCTCGTGTACATGTGCCCACTTCATTAGGAATCCATGCTCACATGCCAGGTTAAACTTGAAATATGACAATGTGTTTTGAAAACAAACTTCATCTCCTTTTCAGGGCAAAGTCTGTGGTCTGTGTGGTAACTTTGATGACAACTCCAACAATGACTTCACAACAAGGAGCAGGCTGCTTGTAAACCAACCTCTGGAGTTTGGGAATTCTTGGAAACATGACCCCAGGTGCCCTGATGTGACAGCAGAGATCCAACCCTGTGATGTGGATGCTCATCGACATGCGTGGGCAAAGCTCAAATGTGAGCTTATCAAGAGTGATACCTTCAAAACGTGTCACCACAAGGTAAACAGTGCAAGTGAACTGTTGCCTGGGTAGGTGGTCCAGAGGAGGCTAGTTGTGCAAAACTGTAGGAAGATACAATCAGGATAGTCCCAGGCTATGCCTATACTGCCACTGGAGGTGTGATGGCATCACAAACAGACATTTCCAAGCTTGCTTAGCTTGAGTATCAATCACAGTGAAGCTGTGGCAGCATAGGCTTGGGCATGGGCTGTACAGACCTGCCTTAGGATACCAACAGGCAAAGTTTTTACCATAGGTGAGGCAACTCTGTGGTAACTTTCTATGTCTCCACTATTACACCACAATAAGAAACTAAAGCATTGTAACTTTCATCTTTTTGCATGGAGCACTAAACTGCCATCTATAATAGGGTAAGCAAGTGCACATGAGAAATTACCCCGGAGCAGCTGACATGCATTAAAGAAGTTGTCGGTCCCCTATTCTTGGTTATTGTAAAATTACTCAGGCAGCCAATGTAGCTTCGTTCCTGTTGGTAGCTAGCTGGCAGAAAAATGTGCTGCAATCATGTTTTTAATGAGAAAGTAGATAAAACTTAAGGCGTTATAATTTTAAAAAATGTTGATTATAGAATCTGCAATTCAAGTTTAGGTGTTCAGGTGTCTACAACTTCTTGCAATAGTTCATTTGAAGATTTGTTATATTTTCATACATTGGACTAAAGTGTCCATTTCCTTCACTGTGAGAGTAATTCCTTCCCTCTACTCATGGGCTTCCTAAGAAATTACTCCAAAGCAAAACTATTACCAAATCACATGCAGTAAGCAGCTTCTAGCCTAGAAGATTTCTGAGATTCCAAGCTGAAAACATAATTATGATGCTAACTGGGCACTGTTTCTTCCCAGGTGGACCCAGCTCCATTCTATGAAGCTTGTGTTCATGATGCCTGCTCCTGTGACAGCGGTGGAGACTGTGAATGCTTTTGTTCCGCAGTTGCTGCCTATGCTCAAGCGTGTATTAAAGCTATGGCATGTGTCTTCTGGAGAACTCCTGATATATGCCGTGAGTAATCTTTAAATATTTCTGAGAGTAATGTTACTGACGGTGACTATACTTAGAATGCTGTCATAGAGGTTTCAATCACTGCACAAGTGTCCTAGCACAGGGTTGTATACTGTAGCACTGAAAGCATTTACAGTGACACGGCTCAAGATCTCAGTACAGAATGGAAACAACAGGCACCTATGCACGTGCCTAATGCCTGCTCTGACACATGCTAATTAGCACGTGTCGGAGCAGACTCAATTAATTGGGTCTGCTGGAGCATGCACGTGCTGATGGAAAATTTAAGAAAGGTTTGTTTTGTTCTGACTGGGTTGAGGGGTGGGGGGAATTAAAATTTTGAAACTGCTAGAGAGACAGCAATTCTGAGTTGTGATCTTGAATAGTTAGCACAAAAATTTCTTGTTCAGTCAGTAATGTATCTTACTAAAGCAAATTGTGCTTCATTTCCCCCTATAAACTAGAGACTCTATTTTGACCTGCTGTATATGACTCTAGATGCAAGTCAAACTGACTTGAACTTAATAGCCTTTAAATAGTTTTCAAATATCCAGAGAAGGCCAACATTTTTGCAGTATTTCAACAGATAGCCCAAATTCAAATCACTATTGACTCTTCATAGTTTTGTGATTTCAGTAATTTATTTCACCCTGAAGGCTTTCATGTGGTCTGTGCTGAAGTTGAGTTGAAAGAAAGTCTAGATCCTAGTGTCAAAGAGAATTATAGCAATGCACCATGTAATCCTTTGGCTGTTCTCACTGGGGATGGAAATGGGATCCTCACCTGGCAACTATAGGTTTCATTGATATCTGTTTTCTCTATCAGCAATATTTTGTGATTACTACAATGCTCGTAATGAGTGTAGATGGCACTATGAGCCTTGTGGCCGTGAAATTAAGACCTGCAAGATTATTACTAATCCCAGTAGCAACTTCTCAGTACCATTGCTGGAAGGTAAGCAACTCTCCGCTGTTTTGTATTTTAATAAAGGTTTTTGGGGGGGTTTAAAGTACCAAATGATGGGCTTGCTTATCAAATTGATTGGCTGAACATTTCTAAGGCCCTAATTTTGAATAATAAAATGGGGATGATTTACTCTTTAGTGACATCAGTTGACTATAGTGATCATACTCACTACTGAGTACCATTTTAAGAGCATGTCAGGGAGAAGCAAACACTCTTCATGGTAAAGTAAATTAAACTTTTATTACTGAATTATTTCTTTTTAAAATATTAATGTTTTTATTTGTCAGGTGGACTCTACTGTGACAGACTTATCGTAAAGCATTTCTTTATTGCTAAATAGGAAATGAATATCAGGCCCATTCCTTTTGGTTATTAGTGACTTCTTAAGAAGAACCACTAAACGATATTTGGAGGCTGGCATTTATGATTTTTCCAATGTTTCATTCTGAATTCTTATTCAGGGTTTAGATACATGATACACAGGCAGATCAGGTCAGTTCTGTGCCATAGGCAGCAGTGGCACATACGGCTGGACCATCTGCTGCATTGCTGGTAGCAGTGACTTCTGCAAGTCACTCGCTGTGGTGGTGGCTATTTTTGTGCTCCCAAAAAGGTAGAGCCTGAGGCTGCTGCCCCATGTGCCTTCCTCCAGTCAGGGTGAAATTACATGTTACACTTAGACCATAGTAAGAACACTTAAAATGTGAGTGTCCTCATTAATTTGTTCTAAGTGGTTTCTTAGTGTCTCAAAGTTATGCCACTTCAGGTGAGGGTTAACTCTGGGCAGTGCTACCTAGCACATATTAGAGTAAGTTCAGTCTGTCCCATGGAGATAAGACAAGCAAATTGCATTCCCCCAGTATCCCACCAGAATGCACCACTGCAAGCCTCCCACCACAGGTCCGCATGGGTCCCAGGGATAGAGACCAGGTGCCCTGGCTTATAGCTATGCATTTGCTCGACAGCCCTCCAATGGCAAGTCAGAGTGGTGCAGGCAAGAAATGATGATAAGCCTTAATGTGTAACTTCTTACAGCATATTCTAACTTTAACACTGCTTAACATTTGACACATTTAGTATGGTCTAAATGTAACATGTAACTTCACCCTGAATTACACTACTGTCATGACATAAAGTTAAGCCATATTATACCATCTTCATGCCTGTGCAAAGGGCAAATGTAAAAATATACAGGGGCTTTAAAAAAAAAACCCGAAGTGCTGGGATGCTGGGAATGGGAGAGGCAGCAGACA